CACAACTTAGGTGTTATACAGTTATCATGGACCAGCTCTTAATTCATGAGATTAATTAACATCAACAAGGAACACTATATGTATAAAAAAAATATTTTTTTTCCCCCTCATAACAAATGTGGACTTTTTCTCTAATGAAATATTGCTAACATAATACATTATTATCATTACCACAAAGAGAAGCCTAAAAGAGCATTTTAAAACTTGAAATAATATATCAATTAAGTACATGTCGGATATATAAAAGCTTTAACAAAAATACTTAAAAAAAATCCATTTTATATGTTACTTTTGCACAAGTTAAATATTTTAATACCTGCAACAGGGTAAAAATGTCAATAATACTGATTCTGACATTTTCCACTGATAAAAGTAGTGTACAAATGCAGCTATAGTGAAAATATAACTAAAATGTTTGAAATTGGTGTATGGGAAAAAGTAAGTTGTTGAAATTTGGGCAAAAGACCTTTACTGAAGCCTATTGGAGATCAGTTGGCTGAAATGTTGACCACCATTATTTTTTTTATTTAGAGTGATTTTGACTTTATATTTTCAGTTTTTTTTTGTTTTTGGATACAGTATGACAGCTAATAGCTACAGTTACTTGAAAAAGCTGAATTTTAATGAATGTTCCTATTTTTACAATTGTATGATTACTTTAAAGAATTTCTGCTGTTGTTTTTTTTTTTCATTTAAAAAATTAAGAAATAAAAATTAACATTATTATAATTATTATTCAATATGTCAGTAAAACATGTAGGTTCAATAAGTCTTGATACAAGATGATAAAATGCTGTAAACCAACCTCTTTCGAAAGGTGGACCTTTCTTCTTCTTCAGAAAGCGCTCGGGTTACAGGGTTTTTATAATTTTGTATCATAATAATTATTATTGTATGGATAAATTATGAATGTTTATGATAATAACACACACACTGACAAAACTCTAATGACTTTGATAGATTCATGAATTTGATTTTAACTGTCATGAATGGTTATAATAAGGTCCTAAACTAGTTAGTGTAATCTTTATATTTACAAATGAAACCTTCCTGAGAAGCTAGTAAAAGTAAACAAATGAGCTAAGAATTAGGAAACTGCTTTTTGCTTAACTTCTGTTCATCAGTAGAAAAGTATAACAAGTTTCATTTGCACTGTTAAAGTTTAAAAATCATGATTTAAACCACTGGAAAGCTCATGAAAAGTCTCTAATTTATGTCTCAAACAACTGAAAACAAGTTCAATCTAAACAAAACAAAAACCAACAAAAAACTATAAGCCTCATGACAAACTAGTAATCAAAAGTATTTTAGAATCACTCAAAGTAGATATTTGAAAAAAACATGTCATCAATAAAAAAAAAAAAAAAAAAAAAAAAAAGATACAATCTTAAAAATGAGCACTTTTATGGTTGAAGAATCTGCTTCTTGACTTAAAACATTTCACTTGCTATCTTAACATGCAATGAGACTTGTTATTAAGAACAATACCACATGTTCATTGACCTTGTTGCAAACTCAAAATATTTCAGGGTTAGCAACAAGGTTTTAGTTATAAGGCATTCTCTAATTTGTTGTGATTATTTTATGTTTTATATTTAAGAATTAGTTCTATTAAGATTATTTGTTTTTAAACTTCTGAAGCTTATGAAGTAAAAAAGCAAAATATTAGGATTCATTAAGCAATGAATATCAAGTTACTGAAGTATTACACGATTAGTTAAAAAAAATGAAATAGTTGAAGATCAAAAACCTTACTGGATTCTCATTAACTGAATTTCTCTCAACTTCTTCGTCACTCAGCACATCTATGTTTTTCTCCTGTGTTTCAGCATCTACATGTAGAATATAAAGATATCCAGTGTAATCTAAGGTAGATAACTGAAACATTTTATACATGCTATCATTTGCATCTTTAACACCAATGTTGTTTTACAATCATCAACAGGCTAATAACAAAAGATGCAGAAAGAGATGACAGTATTGGCACGTTAAACAATATAAATGTTGCTTTGTAATGCTTACTTTACATTCCTTTATTTTTCATGTCCTTCTAAAAGTATTACAGAAAAATACTTCGAAAACCAAATCTTGGATAATCCCAACTAGATATACTGTTTAGCTGTTTAATCCTTCAAGTTATGTATGATAGGACACCCAGTTGTCACCTAACTAAAAACAACAACTTTCAGAGTGAATTGTGCATGTAAATGGATGAATTAAAGGATGTCTAAATGGACTTTCAAGTTTTTCTAATAGAATCAACACAACATGTAGTAGAGCAACATACCAGTATTCTGCTTTCACACATATCTTTCTTTGAGGGAAGGAATATATTTAACACTATCTTTAAGAAGAGAAAAACACTACTGCATTACAATAATACATTATGTGTGTTCTTTACATAACAACTATGATTTGTCTGATGAACACACAGTAGAACAGTTTATATTTTTTTCAGGGTAACTGAGGTATCAACACTAAAATGATAAACACAACAAACCCTCCACTAAAAGTCTGTATCCAGTTTTTGATATTTGTAGTATTTTGAGTTTGTACATATACTAGGTGACTACTAAATTTCACAAGTACAAACATGTCTAACTTACATAATTTCATGTACTAGAAATCACTATTTTTCAAATTACTTAGTTTTCATCTTTAAGAATTGTATTCACTTCCCTAAAATAAAAAAATTGTACGTTTATTTTTGTTACTATATCTTCCACTGTTGGCACAATATCTTATCTAAACATGATATCAGTCAAAAAAGATTCAAGAAAACCTTCATATTACAAACATCTTTATGAAATGTTAAATATTTTTAAATGTGAAAGTACATTGAGGAATTTGTTTCTGGTTTATAGGCGTAATACTAGCAATGTTTACTCTTTTACATAATAGTTGTTTACTATTAAGGTTGGATCAAACATTAGATGGATCTAAACATGTGTGAGTGAGCAAGCAAATATGAAAACAAAAACAATGAAAAGTTTGTTTAATCCCAGCTAAAGTGAGTATGATATAACCGTCCATTCAAATTATTTTAATAAATTAACTAAGGCTCTTGATAAATGCAGAATCTGTATAAAAATAAGATCTAAGATTACTGCTTAATCAAACTCACTCAGCTGTAAATTTGTGATTCTTATTTAGTGTTTCACACCTTTGAACAAAGACAGGATTTCATGTTTCATTCTTAAGATAAATTCTTATTTGAAAATACCCTTTTAGCCATGCAAAATGAACATTTAACTACATAAAGTTAATCATTTCCCCACACATTCTTTGCTATATCTGTGACGTACATGCATGTACAACTAAACTAATACTAAATCAAAATAGCAGTGTAACTTATAAAATAATTCTACTTTTGTCAAACACACACACACACACGCTTTTAAGCAATGTTATCATTTAATATAATAAAACTAATTATCTTTGTTACATTAATAACAGCATTATAATGTATAAGATAAAGCAAGATGACAGATGATAACTTAATCCATCCAGATCACCTCTCACATACCAAAAACATAAAGTCAAAATTAAAAAGCACTCTTCATATCTATATATTCATCGAACAAATGCAAGAATTGTTAAAACTATTAAATATACTATATGAAGAATTTATAACTCTTAAAAAATATTAAGGGAAGGAAAATTATTAAAATGCAAACAACCTTTTTAATACTGTTTTTTATACTAAAATTCTCTTTATAATTTTGTAACAGACACTATTTTTTAATCTCTTTTTATAGTTAATATTTAACATAAAACCCTTCTTAAGGCAATTAGTCATTAGGCATATCTCCTCATTTTTAAAATAATTTTATTCCAGATAGGTTAAACAGTAATGTAGTAAACAAATAAACTACCTTCCATTCCTTCCAAGCTGGAAACTTCTACAACTTCGTCATAAGGTTGGTTTTGTAGGTAAGTAACCTACAAAATAAATAATAAATTTAAGTATAGTAGTGGAGAGAGGTGAATTCTTATGGCTTTGAGTATCTTTGACGTACATGGCTGGGGTTTCACTCACTATTGAACTAGACTTTTAAATTAGCAATTATTTTAAAACAATATCATGTGTTCTTGTCTGCATGAACAGAGCACTTATAAAGGTGATCAAATGGTAAAAACATAAGAGAAAGCCATTCAATCATTTAGGTAACCTTCTCAGCCACTGAAACAGGTAACTCAGTTGCAGCCTTTTGCAGCTACTACTATAAAATAACCACACTCTGTTGTAGGATTCATAAACAAAGTAATGATGAAACTTCTCCATTATCCCTAATTACATCTATAGCTACCTTCGAGGTTCATATCCTCCCCACCAAAAATTCTTCCAATGGTACCAGAAGGCAAATTTTGTATATTAGATCTGTTGGTGAGCGGGACGAAAACTATTAAGTTTTTGAAACAGTGTTCTACTGCAAGTATTCAGTTAACAGAATTTTATGTTATACATATAGCAATATTGACCAAAAGTCTAAACAGCCCATGATTCTGCTATATAAGTCATCACTACACTTAGCTTCATTTTGAGTATTGTATGCAGTTTTAGAAGTTCCACTGAGTTGTCAGAGAATTTTGATGAGGGGTACTAGGATGTTTGCAGGAATAGATGGGTTGTCATATCAAGATAAACAGAGATCTATTAACTCGTTCCCTCTTGAAACGAGAAGGGTCTAGGACAATCTATGTGACGTATTCAAGGTTATTAAAGGAATTGACCTGATTGAAGTATCAGATTTTTTAGTGTTGAATTGAAGACAGCAGGTCATGAGGTCATAAATTTAAAATCTGAAAAAATACAACTCCTCTTGAAGTAGTTTTAATTGTCCAATAGGGTGGTAACTCTGAGAAACACATTGTCTCGTACGGTGGTAGAGGCTGTAATTTTGCAGGAATTTAAGAAAAAGGATGATGAACATCTGGAGGATCAGAGCTGGATTTAGTAATTAGATTTCTATTTGTTTAGGAAAGTTGGGATTCAGGGCATCTTTGATGGGCCAAACAGCCCTTTGACGTTGCAAAATTTATTTATTTTTAAGGAGCACAGAACAAGATATGGAGAATGAAGATGTATTCAAAATTGACATGGGCATAAGGCACACTACCAACAGGGACTAATATGGTTATAATGATGATGATTTGGAGATAATAAACATAAACTTGTGAAAACTAGACCATCTTTTTGATGGACAGAATTATTTTATTTTTACAATTGTATACTTGTTTGATTATTTGGTTTGGTAATACTTTGGATTCTCCAAGTTTTTGATATATGAATGTAAAATACGACATATAGTTCACAATATAACCATTAGATCCTGATTATTCAGAAATTTCACAACCTCTCAACTTAATAAAATTTTGTAGCATTCACTGTTACAGTATTTTTGAAAACACAAATATTCATTTGGAATAAAATTTTAAAAAATATCTATATACAGAGAAATAAGTATTCTGTAAGTGAGAATGATATTTAATTATATTACAGACTGGTACATCAGAGAATTCATAAATAGGTGTAATAGTACAGTTCATGTATAAAAACCTTAGTTAATATGTCATTAATATGAAATTAGTGTTCATTACCTAAAAGGGTTTCATCAAATGGAGAGGTACAGCTACCATTCTAATTGCTAGACTACATTGTTTAGGAACATGGAGCGATCTATGTAGGCTAAATAGCATGCTATTACTTTGCTACTTATTTTTAACATTTCACACTGTGATTAGTTCTGAAATATTCAGTTTGGTACATGCATGATTGCATATTATAAGTTATTTACCACAGCACTACTATTTATTAACTAAGGCAAATACGGTCATACGTTAATTAACTTAATAATTATTTTACTTGTTTCAGAATTTCAATAGTTATATTTTGTTACATAAGCATGTGATAATCAACTTATTAATTATCAAGTTGGGCCATGAGTTTTAGAGTTCTGGTGAAAATGCAGTTCACTTTGTTCATTTAAAAAATCTTCGTAGTAGTAGTTATAATCTTCTACAAACATGTTACACAAGTAACAACATTGGATATGTATCATGATATACGTACCGGTGCAGTGGTACTTGAAAAACTGATAAACACACAATAAAATGCATACTACTACTAGTTTTTCTGTCAATCACATTTTTATTAGTATAAGTATTTAGTTTGAAATATACAAAAGCTAACATGTTACCTTTTCTTTTTCTTGAGGCTCCAAACTTATATTTGCCATTTCGCTGCAACTATGAACATGATACTAAATATTTTTCAAAGAATGTTGAATATAAACATTGATTTTTCGACTAGAACATAGTTATTATAAGAAAATGCGACACCTAGGATATTAAGTAAAAGGTAACATTAACAAAAACAACTCTAGTTTGGCTGTATAAGTATTTAAAGAATTAAAATTGTTTTTTCTTCCTTTTTTGTTGTTGTTAAACACAAAGCTACATGATGGGCTATCTGTGCTGTGCTCACCACGGGTATCGAAACCTGGTTTTTAACAATATCAGCCTTCAGACTTCCCGCTGAGCTGCGGCAGGGAGTGGGAGAGGGTGAAACATTATTATTAACGATTGTAAATAACACTTTACTCGTGAATATAACTGGCAAATACATACAACCATTGCCAAGAAAATATGTTACAATGATGTTTTAAGTTTAAACCTTCATCAGACCTATATTCTCACTGTTATTTGTTTTATTATGTAGAATTGTGGTATATTCAAGTAAAACTGAATTACTGTTAGAGTTGTAGTACGGAACGTACTATATTATTTACACTCCTTTAGCTAAAGAGTAAAATAAAACAAAACAAAACAAAAAATAATGTTGTTTTTCGTAGTTCTCCTTTGGGGCGTTGTAAGGCGCACAAGTAAGTTACTAACCTTTGTTTTCTTAACTCTTTTCAGCGCGGGCTCGATCCTAGGTCCGACCTCGTAACCACTGTGTGCTTGTTATACTTTTCATTCTATAACATCGAAATTAGTAAACATATTTTCACGAAATTTGGCAGATTATCAGTAAACATTACAAGGCTTTCGTAAATTCCTCATCAGTTATTTCTGCTGTGATTGCATGTTGTTATTTTCTTTTCTTGTACATAGATGATCTCAATTTTTTGTTTCACACAACTTATTCTTGAATGACATCAATAGACATTATTAACTGAAAACACGATTCAAAGAAGGTGGATAAAGAGTATTGCTTCTGAATACTGCTCGCTCTCTACTACAGTTGATTGACCCAAACTGAGCCTCCTTGGAAATAAATTATGTGAGCTTCCAAATCATACACCACTAAGAAAGATGTAAGATCTATGAATGATCTTTCGAGAAAGTTTTCTCTAAACTCTAAGGTAAACGTTAGATAGGAGGGATTAGTTTCAAGTGAAAAAGAACGCGGCTCACGCCAACTTCTTAGAGAGCGATTTCATTTCTCGGCGAGCAGAATACGAGAATTTTGATAATGTATGTTAGAATTCCCTTTCGCTAAAAGCTTCGACAATTTCCTACTATGCAGTTATTGATATAATTTATTACGTGCATACTTATGAACCTCGAGTCCAATCGCTCATTTCAGTGATACCTTGGGATTTTGGGTTTTTCAATCTCTTGTGCCCAAAACGTTTTAATGTGATCCTGCTATTAACGATATCAAATAAGTTAAAAGGAAAATAAAGTAATAGTACCATCATCATCTGGTATTTCCAGATGGTCACTCTTCCAAGTACTTGCCAGGCCGACTGTGGGTTTACTATGGGGATCAGACTTTTTTCTTTTCTTCTCTTTATGAATCCCACCTCAAAGTGGTTCTATAGACATGAGTACAGTAGAGATCAATACAAGTTACAAAGAAATACAAATACAGAAAATCAGAGGATACAAAAAATGATACAAAACAATATAACACACAACTCGAATGAAATAACATAATTAAAGTAAACATGATAATACAGCAAACATAGGCATAAATACAAATGTTACAAATAGACAAAAAAGGTGTAATTAAGAGGATAAACGTTAAATATATTGCTTTAACTAAGATAATGTCACAAAACACATCCCTGAGTACCTTGGGATACCACAAAACCGCGATGAGCATAGGTGTTATAAAAACATGTAAATAATCCCTCAAAATCTAACGTTGGTAATCCAAATGGATTCGCTTACGTAATCTGACTTTATACATTGAAACTAAATCAATAGTTACATTTTAACAGAAGCAAACACTTCTTGCCAAATATATACGAAACTTTGCCAAGGAGATAAACAAACGAAGGTCCTTGTGGCACTGCGAAGGAATGCATGTGGAAGACCCCACCAACTGACAGTGAGACAAAACAATGTCAGAAAATGGAAATCAAAGAAAAGCTCCTACAACTGACGAACAAAAATCCACAAGGGTTGAACCACCTGACAAAGCAAACATAAGTGATCTACAGTTTCTAACACCCCATTTCAAAAAGTACAAAATCCGGATAGATGCCGTCCCATATCTATCAATTTGACATTAGTCGTTACCGCCCAATGCCATATTAAACAGTCGACCTCGAAATTATCAAAACCAACAAAGGAATCAAAAGTAGTCCCACAAATTAGTTTCCATCGTTCAGAAGGAGTAACCCCCCCCCCCCAAAAAAAAAACGTTGGAGCCGATGCGTGATACCCCGAAGAAACAGACAAAAACTGCATCAATTTCTTAACACTAAGACCCCCAAACCTAATATGTGTCTCTAAATAATCCTTTAAAATCAGCTCAGGGACCCGCGTGGGAGAAAGCAGTGGTGCAGTTTCAGAACATAGAATTTCCACCAATCAAGAGGCAAAACAGACTGTAATAAACGAAAATGGGAAAGTATTAGACTATCACATAGAGAAAAACCGACGTCCTTACATTATTCAACTATCGCCTGAGGGCGTAAAAAGCCAGGTAAAACTTCACACAGTAAGTACTGCACAAGGAGTGGTTCACCAGGGCGAACATAGATGGTGACAATCGTAAGAAGACATGATAGGAAATAAACTGTGAGAATAAGGTGTTTGGAATAACTATTCGGTGGAAGAGTATGGAGGCAAAAAGGAAGAGTAACTACACACGATGACATTGATGATACAGAAAAGTACCATGGAGAAAAAGATAATCAATGAAATCACCAGAGACGGCGAGTATTCGGGTCATGAAAGTAGGACCTTTGGCATTCTGTATGCAGATAGCATGTTTGACAGAAACACCATATTCCGTAAGTTCAGAAATGATATCTGATTCAGCAAGCAGAGGATCTACCCCATGGATAACACAAGAAAAGAGAAGTCTTCTCTATGGGGGAGGTTGCTGTTTTAAGGTGGGTGAAGAAAGGAGCTTAAGAGTCGTAGATACCCCAAAGTTGAAAAGACCAATCATGTTGTGAATACGTCGAGTATCTGAGAATTGTAAGGCATTTCGAGTGGGTATTAACTGGTGTATATCAGAGCGAGTGCAAAAGTTCGATACTTCCTGGTAAAATTGACTTGGAGAATAGTATTGAGCATCCATGTTGGAGAGGAGGAATACTTGATAGGTGAGAAGCTGAGCCAGTATCCAAAGGAGCAGAGGTGGCCTGAGACATGAAAGGTACAGTAGAAGGTATGGTGGGAGAAGAACGTGTGAAGTGACATCAGCATAGATAAGTTAAGAAATTGGAGGTGCAGAATCCAGAAGCAGCGTAGAATTTGCCAATGATGATACTGACATGCGAGGTGGCTTTTTGGAGTCAGTAGTTGGATGAGAATAGGGTTTAGTCCAAGTGCGGGTGGCAGAAAGTCCAGTTTCCTCCAAAATTCCAGGGCGCTCCACAACAAGAGGGAGGCCAGAATGCATAGTGACTGACAAGAGCACTTCAAGTAATCAGAAGAAAAAAATCCAAACAAGGTAATATTGAAATAAGTAAAACTAAACAAAGTCAATAATAAATACACTATACTCACGAGAAATTACAATCAGGAATCAGTACAGTAAGGCACAATCCAATAGGCTCCCAAACCTGGGGTCAATCTCTCCTTTAGAGAAAAATTTCTCCAAAGGTCATTCACAGATCTCACATCTTTCGTAATGGTGTGTGACTTGGAAGCTCGCATATTGGTTTCCAAGAAAGCTCAGTTTGGGTCAATCAACTGTAGCAGAGAGTGAGCAGTACTTCATAAGCAACACTCTTTCGCCACCCTCTTTGAATCGTGTTTTTGTTTTCAGTTAATCATGTCTATTGATGACATCGAACTTTAAGTTGTGAAAAAAAAAGATCCTGTATGTACGAGAAAAGAAAAATGACAATATGCAATTAAAGCGGAAATAACTGATGAGCAATTTACTTTCTGGTGTATAAAAACCGAATTAAAAATACAGAGTTGCCTATAGTATGAACAACTAAAGAAGCAAATAACGAATTATATATTATAGATGAATGTGGGTAGCGAAATAATGCGATAAAAATCTTATAGAAGGCTGAGTTAGAAAGTATAAGCAAGTTTCTTCGGAGGATGTGAAAAGTGGAAAGTAGGCCTCTAATCGTGTTCAAATAAAAATACACTTCATTCTTTTTTCTTTTTCTCTTTCAAAAATTGTCAAAAGAATTCAGGTGTATTCATACTTGTATCTTTTAATATATTTATTTAGAGCTGTTTCAGCAGATATAGTGACAAACAAACACTATTGACTTCAATCTTTTCGTTCAAAGAATGTAACTAAGGAGAAATACTCCTTTGGATAGAAGAAATAGCTTAGTATACGATACATATTACTGCACGTTAATAATAAAAATTTTATGCTGTAAACCTAGTGATATGGCATAAGAAGCAACGACGATACTATAACTGACTGAAGAAATCTATTACTATACAAATGTGGGTTTTCTAAGTACAATTAACCAACTTTCTTACATGGATGATAGTAGATGATATTCAGATATAGAAAGCTATATTTCCTGTTTTCGAATAAGATAAGGGTCAGGGGCAGCCATGCCCCTGAACTCAAATCCTAGTGGATACAGATCTGGAATGGAGGCCTGGCTTTGTTACATTATTTTTGTTTTGTATATAAAGCCAGGTTTACTTCTGTAAGTTAGAGTTAGACAGAATTAAATGAATTAGAGGGTTCTATACAGTTCAGAGAGAACTGCTTTTACAGTTTTTAACTTCCATCTCTTTGTTTGGATATAGTAAAAGTCATAATTGCAACATTTTGTATTAGTACTTTGAGTATTGTTTTTGTTTGAGCTAAGACATGAAGATAACATGGGTTTAACTTTAATAAGTAAACATTGTTAAGTTCATTTCTGTTTTTTAACTTTTGATTTTTGTAATAGTA